TCTGGACTGCACAGTGAGACAATGTCTTAAACCACCTACCCACCAAAAATAAGTAATCCTTGGCTAAGGCCAGATGTGGTGTTACATGCCTATAATCTCAGCACTTGGGAGGCTGAGGCAGGAGGAATGCCACAAGTTCAAGGCCAGCCTGGACTACACAGTGAGTTCAAGGTCTGCTAAACCACACAGCAAGACCCTGTTCTCAAAAAAAAAAACAAAACCAAACCAGATTCTTTTACTAGTAAAAGACAAAAGCCATGCAAGAAATAAAAGTTCATTAGGCTGAAAAAAAGTATTCCTAAATACTAGTTCAGATCCACAAAAGTCATGGGTATAGGTGTGTAGGTGGTTAGGTAACTGGAAATAAGAACATAAAGGCAAATTTCTTCTTCTCTTCCTATTCATTTTAACAAATAAATGTACACATTCACATGTATATAACTATATTGCTGGGCCTATGACAGAAATGCAGTATCTTTTACAATAAAGCAAAAAGAGACAAACTAATCTATATCGGAATAAGTAAATGACAACAGTAGTAGATTGAACCGGAGTCCATACGTGAACAAATGTAATGAAGTTGAAATGGTCAATAAGAAGATTAATATAATATAGTAATATAATACAGTATTATGTACATAGATACTATCCTTAGTATCTTAGCTTCTTTAAAAGATCAACTTATATGCAGTAACTATGTAACACATTGCTAGAATTTATTTTTTTAGAATTTAAACATATACAGAGGTATTATGCATAAAAATATAAAGGCAAAATGGAAAAGACAGAGAAGAGCTATATATGGCTAACATTTGAGTTAAGGTAATATAAATCTGGAATTGATTATGAAAACATTTATAACATAAGTCCTACAGCAAAGATTAGAAAAATAAACTTTTAAAAGTGAAACCATTGGAAGAATCAAAATGTTATTCTTAAATTCACTTCAGGAAAAAGGTAACAGAAATAAAAAGAGAGGATGAAAAAAACATGAGACATCAGAGCACGGTGGCGCACACGTGTGGTCCCAGCACTTAGGAGACTGAGGCAGAAAGGTCAAGTTCAATACTAGCCTGAGCTACATAGCAGGCCCTGTCTCAAAAAAAAAAAAAAAGAAAAGCTAGGCATGGTGCCACATGTCTGTAATCCCAGCACGCAGGAGGCGGAGGCAGGTGGATCACCAGGAGTTGGGGCCACCCTCAGCTACATAGTAACCCAAGCCTGGACCATAAAGCAAGACTGTCTCAAAACAAAAACAAAAACAAAGTCAAAGAAGCAATAACATGGCATATTAGAAAAATACTTTAAGATAAGTACAAATGAAGATATGCCACAGCAAAGCATATAGGACACAGAAAACAAAATGATTAACGAGAAATGTACAGCTATAAATACACATATTTAAAAAGAAAAGTCTCAAATCAATAAAGTAATATGCCACCTTCGTACACTGGACAAGAGCAATATAAACCCAAAGCAAGCAAAATGGAGAAAATAAAGAATGCTGTAAAAATAAAATAGAGAATAAAAAATAATAGTTCACAGAAAAGAGCCACAAAATTACTAAAATTAGGAATGAAATCTCTCACATCACTAGCACAGAAACAAAAAATTTCTGAGAATGCTAGAAATAATTATATGCCACAAATTATATGACTTCTATGAGATAAAGTGATTTCTAGAATAGTATAATGAACTCAAGAATTAGAAAAATCTGAAAATATATAAGAAGACTGAATCAGTAACTTAAAATTCTCTTATTTAAAAACAATAGAAACAAAAACCACAAACTCCATAGATCCTAACACAGTGAAGGCAAACCATTTATGTAATTACGGATTTAATTTTGTCTTGTTTTATTTTTTAGACAGGGTCTTGCTATGTAGTCCAGCCTGGTCTTGAACTTTTGGTGATCCTTCTGCCTTAGCCTCCTGAGTGCTGGGATTACAGAATGCCATACTGCACTGGCAATGGTGAACCTTTTGTAGACTAAGTGCCCACACTGCAACCCCAAACCCATTTATTTATCACAGAGTGCCAGTACTGCAATTAAACCTAAATATCCAATGCTCCACTGCTGAGGCAACTTGGGTTGAGTACTGAGAGGGCTCTGAGTGCTCACTGCAGCACATATGCCATAGGTTTGCCACCACTATTCTAATAGCTTCAATAGTGAATTTCATGAAACATTTAAAAAGGAGTATTAAACGAGGTGTGGTGGCATACACCTGTAATCCCAGCACTCAGAAGGCTGAGGCATGAGGATCACCATGAGTTCGAGGCCAACCTGGGCTACACAGTTCAGGGCCAGCCTGAACTACAAAGTGAGATCCTGTCTCAAAACACCAAAAAA